GTAAGGTAGGCAGAGCACACTGTGAAACAGATGCATTTATTGAGCACCTATTATATACCAGGTACCAAAGATACATAGTTGAGAATAAATATGGCTCATCCCTTCAAGCACCACACACTCCATTGAGGGATACAGACAACAAAGTGTTGTAAAAGTATAGATCACAGTGTATTTTAATCACAGGAGTAAGCACAGATTGATATGGGAAAAGAGAGAAAGAGAGGAGAGAGAGAGAGAGAGAGAGAGAGAGAGAGAGAGAGAGAGAGAGAATGTGTAACTTTGCCTGGGGGTTGGGGATGGTGAGGAAAGGCTTCCTTGAGGAGGTATTCACTGACATGAGCTCCTCCGCATGGTAAGGTCTGAAGAGCAAGGTGACTGAAGAAGGTGGAATGTTCCCCCACTGACATGTCAAGAAAGGCATTTGGCCAGCACTACTTCCTGCTTGAGAAGTTAGAATTCATGCCATTCCCAGGGATCTGAATGTGGAGATTGGAAAGCTGATCTATGGTTATTTTATAAAACTGGGTGCTGTTCTTCCTAGTCTGTGTGAGAAAGCTCAATTTTTATTAACTCTTCCCTTATAAAGCATACACTGGAAGGAGGAAAAGGCTTAGTTTTCATACCCAATTTTGTCCTTAACCCATTGTGCAAATCCTGAGCTAATACACTCTGGCTCATATTTCTTCATATTATAGGAATTCAGTTTATCTGTGGTATACACACACACACACACACACACACACACTTCCATTTCCTTTAAGACTATGGGACAGATAAGATTGCCTTCTAACTTAAGCATTCCACTGAAGGGAATTTCTAACCTTAAACTGATCATTTTCTAAGTTTCTAAACCATCTAACTGTCAGAATGTTCTCTCTGTTTTCCTGTGAAAATGCTTCTTGCTGTTTCTTCAAGTCCTTGTCTTTTTCTCTGAGTACAAAAATCTGATAGCCTTGTTGCAGACAAGCTTAGAGAGTACTTTGTGATTTTCTTTCAAAAGTATTCATTGGAAGGCAAAATTAACTTATTATCTTCTTAGAGTATATATAGACTTTTCCTCATTAAGAAATCCCTGAAGCAGTATGGACTTCACTGTCCAGCTGAGCCCCAAAGCTCTGGAACCTAAAAACATGCCCTTCATTAATCATTAATCAAATACCTGCTTTCCAGAGGTTCTATGTTAAATGTTAGTTTCTGCATCCATATTTGTGGCAGGTGACCACTCCATGACCTTTGGGGTAGCATTCAAGTATCATGCTCTCTTGGGTGAAAGTAGGATACTCACTTGAGTTCTCTCAGTGAAAAGGGAATTTATTATAACACTAGGGGGCCGGTGCACGAAATTCGTGCACTGTGTGGGGTGAGGCAGAGTGTCCCTCAGCCCAGCCTGCCCCCTCTCACATACTGGGAGCCCTCAGTTATTGACCCCCATCAATCTCCAATTGCAGGATCGGCCCCTTCACCAC